TTTACCAGATTGATCCTAGCTATTGATTTCAAACTAATATGAAACAGATGTACTAGAATGTGCCACGTGCCACAACATCTCACATCAAGCTACATCGTTGGGCTCTACTGCAGTAGGGCTCACCTGTGCAGAGGTTGACAAAAAAAAAATTAAAATTTGGCTGTCGTTAGCATGACTTCATTTAGACACTAGCTTGTTCACTAGCTCAAGGCCGAGCTTCTTTTGCTCGAGCATTTGGATGGGCTTTGCATGGCTCGCTAGTTTCCCTTGCAAAATTGGACAGTTGGAAGTGGTTAAATGGGTTGGAGGGCATCCTTTGCCCTTGCCTTCCACCAACTGGTGGACATGCTCTAAGGAGAGAGCACATTTAGTAGACCATATTTATCCCATCTCTCTAATAGAATTAGGGCTCATCAATACAAGTAGATCTCAACTCTAGAGAGTTATCTTTATTAGAGACGTGTTACAAATGTAGCCTACCAAATGTTGTCTCCCTTGCATTTTTTTCTAAGAAATCAACAAGTGCTTAGCTAGGTTTTTCAACACTATTCATTATTATGTTTAATTAATTCTATGTCATTTGTAAGTGATGGATTGTCTGTTGGTTAGAACCTTTCTCTTTAACTCACTGAGTTCCAGATTCAAACATTTCCCCACCTCGTAGTGTAAATTAGTGTGCAAATATAGTTTGTAATAGAATGTTTTATGTGCTTTGTTAACTTAATCTTAATATGTTATTATTTAACTTTGTAATATTGTGTCGCAGAAAGTTTGTCCACATGTCAGCGTTTAGCCATATGGTCCTTTCGTAGTTACAAGAAAACCCCTGTTCTTACTAAGAAGTTTTATTTAAACTCCTGTTTTGTATCTTTCCACTCAACTTACCTAAAAATACTATTTTTCTATTTGCACCATAATGAAAAACTACCCAAACTAAATATCTAAACTTCTCTTTACACGCAACGAAATAAATTACTTGTTAGAAACCAAAAACAAAATAAAAAATCATATAATCAAAGATGATATAGGGTTGCCCCCAAAACAAACTATAATTTGTAAGGTGAAACAGGTGTAGGCGAGCTTTTTTATAGATACTCTTGTCTGTGAATAATTTATAAATCAGCACTTATTGGTTCAAGGGCTTCTTTGTTAGCACTGAATGGATAAAGGTAAGGATGATGACCTTCAATGGATAAAGGCAATGATGATGCCGAGGGTTACGGTTTGGGAAGAATGAAACCTGGTGGGGGGTTTAGGGTATAGGAAGAATGATGTAGGAAGATGACCGTGGTCAGGATTTTATCAAGGTCGTGGTAAAGATGTTGTGGTCTATTGAAAAAATCTAATTTCTTTTGTCGAAGGCATCTTGTCCCTTTAACGGTAATTACATAATAGGTAGAATAATCTATTCACTTCTTAAGTCGGATGTGGATCTACAAATGATGAGTTCAAATGAAATTTCTCTTTTATGATTAGACTCTGCCAAAAAAAGGAAAAAAAACGACTTTTGCATTAAGCATTAGTGGACAGAATTTTACTTAAATAATCATCTTTATAATTAACATTTTTGCTATTACATACCTGTGTTTTTTATTCAAGTAATATTCTAATTTATTCAACTAAACTACAAAAAGAAATATTTGAACTCATATACTCAAGTGTAGAGCAGGAAGCACATTGTTCTAAACAAATAAGCTACGCCTTTCTATATTAGGGAACTAATTTTCATATATCATTTTTAATCTCTCACACACTCTTATTTATTTCTAGTTATTTGATTGAATTAATCAAACAGCCGAAAATAATGTATTAAAAAATTCAAATAAATAAACTCATAATACTCATATAAATTCAATCAATTGGAGAATGCCTCAATTATGCATATCAATAATCAAGGCAGTAAGTATGAAAAGAGTAGGAAATAATCTAGCCTATGATATAAAGACAAATGTTTGTAACTGTCCTAAAGTCGTAGACGCCTTCCTACGTGCATGTTATAACGGTTATCTACAACTACATGATACATTCTTGAATATCACAGAGTGTGATCCATAAGCACAATTATGACAGACGAGATGCCAAGTAATGATCAATTGCCCATTGTTAAAGTAGAGTAGGGGATGTAATGGAATAGTGGAAGACACATGAATGTTTTTAACGTATATAATTTTGTGAGTTCCTTATCTATAAAACTCTACACACCCCTTAATAAAAGACATGAGTTCTCTAATAAAATCTCGTCATATTTTTTATTTAAAATAATAATAAATAAAATTTTGAATCTTATAAACTAGAGTAAAAAACCAATAGAACGTTCATAATTAAACCTGAAGTGTGCAAGAGGAGAAAAATTGTGTGTTTATCATTTCTCTAATATTTACCTATGTATTGGCAACAAAGGGTGGGAGCAAGGCCCGAACTAAACCGAGCATCAAAAGTGAATCCCCGAAGCTTGGCCTAATGTTAAATCAGTTGATAATCGCTACAAACAAATTAAATATAATGAATCCTTATTTTGCAATTTTGATAAAAAAAAAAATGGTAATCGTTGCTGGAGTATTCTCGTTAACTATTTTTGATTATGTATCGCCATTTGATAATGTAACTATTATTGTATTATTCTCGTGATCTATAGATAGTTTTATCTAGCTTTTGTAGTGATGTAACTGTTGCGGTGAGAATTTTTGTTCTACCATGAACAGCCCAGTCAAACAAAACTCAAGCGAAAACAAGAAAAGAGTCCTACTTCACACACTTCTTGAAAGCAATAGAAGCTCCATCTACCATCATCAAACTCAAAGAGAAAACCAAATGCATGGACCAGCATTAGCACCTCCCATCGTCAAAACCAAGAAAAACTATATGAAACTAAATGTATGTCATCATTAAACTCAAAACATTGTGTATCTATTTCCCTATGGGGATATTTACTATATATGATGTTGTAGATATTGTTCTATTTTTTATGGATTTTTTAAAGATTTTTTTGGATTGTTCATATTTCTGCTTAATCTTTATAAAGAAATGCTAGGGCATATAAATAAATTATGTCCTTTTGTAATAATACAAGATATGAACAAAATTTAGTAACTATCGAGATGTTTTCTTCTATGCGTGCATGAAAATTCAGCTTCTCTCTTAGGCATGAAAAATATGGTCAAGTTATTTAGTTATCTTCCATAATTGATATTGACAAGGTCTAAATTGGAAAGTTAAAAAGAATCGATACCAATAAAATATAGAGAATCTTACTTCTGTAATGTGGTGAATGTATGCAATATTCATGTGAACTATCTTTAGTTATGTCATACTTTTATTGTGATGCAATTACTGTTGTAATGTCTCATGAACTATTTGTGGTTTTATTTAGCTTTTACAGTAATGTAACCGTCCTAACTTTTGTAGTAATGTAACTCGTCCTAGGTTTTGTCGTGATGTAATCGTTGATGCACTGCTTCCACGAACTATCTATATGGTTCTGGCTAACTTTTATAGTGACGTAATCATTACTGCAGTTTTTTTCGTGAGCTATATGTGGTTTTGTCTAGATTTTATAGTGATGTAACCATTAATCTAGGACCGGTTTTTATTTTATCTAGGATCTTGTGAGTTTGTTGGACCAAGTCCAGGATCTTGTGAGTTTGTTGGACCAAGTCCCCTATTGGTCTCTTAAATAAGTTAATGTCGTAGATTGTAAAGTATGTCTAAATGTGCTCTTGTGAATTTATTAACATTTTACCCTGAATGCTGCTGCTAAACTAGAACGCGCTTAGGCTTCAAATGTTAGTTTGATGGATGTGCTCTAAGAGCTTCTCATTCTGATTAACTATTTTTAGTATATTATATATAAATAAATAAATAAAAAGAATTCATCAGTATTTATCTTGGGCCTGAAAAATTGAGGACCCCAGAGACCGGTCCAGTCAGACATAAGGCTAGCAAAAAAAAAAAAACATAAGACTTAAATCGTTTCCTTTCCAGCAGTGATTGGATTAACAAATTTTGAGATTTTGATACTCATAAGCATGCTATTATTGATTCTGATCATGCGCAATTAGTATAACTTTTGCTAGCTCAAATCCAAAATCTGACTAGAATTTTAAATTTGAGGCTCTGTGCCATGAGCATGCAGTTTTTTCCTTACCTTGTCTGAAATAATCATGTCATCGAAATGCTTCTGAAAGCTCTACTTTAGAGCTAAAATTTCTTTTACAGTTTGCTACCAGATCTTGATACAAAAGAGTTATAAGCAGATCTTATGAATATGCAAATGAATATGAGGATTAATATTGACTAGGATTACACCTTGTTACCAGTTAATGAAGAGGAGATCATCTTTGGTTCTGTCTCGCTTTTGTTGTTTGAAACTTGAAATCTTCTTTTCAAACCATATCTTGTAAACCAAAGGATTGGCGTTTGATGGTTAGATTCTATTTTTAATGATTTAAAAAATGAATTCAACTATCAACTGTCACATCATATAGTTTATTATATACAATATGATCTAAAAAGATGACATCTCTAGCATCACCCTTACTACATTTGTTTTCATGAGCTATGTATAATTCTCTTTGCTTAATTTTATAGTGATGTAGTCATTCCTCTAAGAATTTTTGCTTTACCGTGTAATGTTGTTTCTCGTATTAAACCATTTATCTAAGGGAATTGTTATTAGCACTCCAAAAATCTCATTTGACACTCCAAACTTTCAATAATTAGAAAGAAAAATACACTTGTGAGGAATGTAGAATGAGATTTTTGGAGTGCTAATAACAATTCCCTAAACTACATTAATAAAATACTCTTTGTCAACCAAAAAGGATAAAAAGACAATTTTGTCTTCTACAACAAAACAAAATCATGGGCAATAAATAAAATAAATTCACACAAACTAAATTTTATAGTTTTTTTTCAAAACCTCACCCAAGGGTGATCTTAATATCCTCTAATTTTTTAAAAACAAAATATAAAAAGGAAAACTTCTCTCTCTAATCCACATTCCTTTTTTTCTCCTTTTCTCCTTTCCATTTTAAAATAAAAATAAAAATTATATTCACACACAAGGTGTGGAGCATATGCTAGTATATATAAAAAGATTATCTATATATAATATACTAACCTTCCTACATGTGCTCACACGCGTGCGAAAAACATTTTTTTAATCACGGAAAGAAGTGCCAGTTAGTACTACATCAATACCCGCTCGAACCACTGGTGAGACAGCTTGGATTTAGAGCGCGGGACACCTTCAGAAACTTTAATAATCTGTAATCCCTTTCAATAAAGAAAATTTTCAGAGCTTCCACTTTGTAGTCCTAATCCTTATTTACAAATCTGCAAAGAACAAAGAAAATGAATTAAAATGCATGCTTTGATCTGTATGATCTGTATATAGTAAACGCACATATACCTCCTAGGCTCCTACTACTAATGGTCCAATTTCATAATCCGATTTAAGGTTGCTAAAGCCTTTTCAACCAATCTGAGTTGTACCTTAAACCCAGACATAAGATCATATATCAAAAAATGTCAATAGAACGTTGTTGACTGAAGTCAGCTTGAGGAAGAAAAACTAATTAGATTTTGTAAGAAATATCAGTGCAATATCAACCACATTGATTTAATGTTTTGTTTAGTGAAATGAATAAGTAAAAAGCAAAAACAATAGAGCTGAAGTCCAAACTTCGTACAAAACTCACCAACTGACCTCCTGAACATGAAATGTAGGCTAACTCTACAAATTTCCAATTACGCCCTTGTGCTTGTTGACTTGCGAAAGGGATGATAATCCACACATCCACAATGTAAAACAGTTGAAATTAAAGAAAATATTGATTACCAAAATATAAAAAAAGTTTAAATTAACCATACTTTCTTACCTTCTGTGCATCACATGCACCCAGCAGAAAGCAAACAATCACAGAGCGCAAGAAATTTTTCATTCTCTTCCACTTTGTAGTCCCAATCCTTATTCCACCACAGATTTATCGCCATTTCAGGCCAAATCCAAAATCTACAACACACAAAGACACTAAATAAAAACGTTTTCTTTACAAAACCCTTTACCAAAATCCGATCAAAGTATGTAAATTTAAACAAAAGATCAAGTTTTGGAGCAAAACGCACACCTATATGGCCATGGGAGCTGCCACTTCAGGGTGATTGAGCCTCAACCTGAGAGCAAGACACAAAAGTTTTCCAGAAAAGTTTCTCAGTAGTATGATAAATAGACTAATAAAAAAGTACTTTCTATTAAACCCCAAACAAAATTGAGAAAACCCCATTTTTATTTCTCCCCTTCCGGTTAAGCAAGCAACTGTTTGGATTTTATTTCTCCCCTTCCGCAAAAGTGTTTCCTTACACGTTCGTGTTTTCCCCTCCTCCGTGTACACGTATGCACCACGTGGCATATCACGTTTGTTCTCCCAATATGCCAGGAATGATCGATCGTGTGAGGGAGAAGTTTGATCAGAAAATAGGGTACGGAAAATAGACGTGGGTGGGTTGGTTTTCCTGGCAGTTATCTCCTTTTTGTAATTTTTTAAGTTTGTAATCCTCTTATTTATTAGGTTGATAATTTGCTGACAAAAATACCCTTTGGATTATGAATCCATTTTTAACGTCAGTTTTAACTTTTTCTGTGTTAAGGGAGTTTTTCTCTAAAATTTTTTGGTGAAGTTTTGAGACACTAAAATACTCTTTTAACTTTTTAATATTAGAGATATCTTCGGCCGAATTGTTTGTCTTGGGCCCTAATTAAGAAATTAAGGACTGCAGAGGCCAACCCAGTCTAACAAAACCCTAGTGAAAACGAGAAAAGCGTCTTACCTCACATACTTCTCTCGAAAGCAACCGATCCACCATCATCAAACGCAGAAAGAAAACCAAATGCATGCACCAGCATCAGTACCTGCCATCATCAAACTGTGAAAAACTAAATAAAATATGTTTGTTTATTTTCTATGGATGTATTTCATCATCAAACTCTTAGTAGTGTCATGAATATCCGTTTCCTTATGGGGGTAATTACTATGCATAAATGCCGTAGAGATTGTGTTCTAATTTTTATGGATTCATATGATCCTTTTTAGATTTTTTTAATCAGTTCTTATTTCTGCCTGATCTCTATAAGGGAATACTAGGACATACAAATAAAATAGGTCTCTTCTAATAAACCAAGATATGAACAAAATATAATAATCATTAAGATGTTTTCTTCTATGCATGCATGAAATTACAAGATCTCTTATTAATAGGCATGGAAAATATGGTCAAGTTACCTAAGTTATCCTCCATAATCGATGTTGACAAGGCTTAAAAAATAATTAATACCGACAAATTATAGAGAATCTTACTTTTGTAATATAGAGAACATTATAGCAGTATTCACGTGAACTGTCTTTAGTTATGTCATACTTTTATTGTGATGCAACTGCTACTGTAATGTCTCGTGAACTATTGTGTCTTTGTTTAGCTTTTGCAATAATGTAACCGTCATAGCTTTTGTAGTGATGTAATCGTTGATGCATTACTCTCACAAACTATCTATATGATTCCGACTAAGTTTTTTAGTGTCATAATCATTTTTGCAGTTTTCTGTCTAGCTTTTACAATGATGTAACCGCTACTGGGTTTTTGAACTTTAATCCTTGACGAAGATTAAAATTTAATAAAAACTTGGTGTTAGATTACATATTCATTTTAGTCCTTTAATATGTACTTAATTCAAATTTATATTATATTTTTGTTTTAATATTTAATAGATATCTTATTTTCTCCCAAAAAAAAAATTCTTATTTAACGTCTCCACATTAAATTTTAAATTTATTATTATACATATTTTAATTCTTTAATTTTGTTTAACTTCCTCTAAATAGTGTACCTAAACGTCCGCATCATAATATATTTTACTGAACTAGTGTACTGAAATGTTCGTACCTAAATATATTTTAATTAATTAGGGGCGCATAAGAAAATATGCAGAAACATAGGTGTACCGAAAAGTTCATACTTAAATATATTATACTAAATTAGTGTACCGAAATGTCCGTACCTAAATATATTATACGAAACTAGTATACCGAAATGTCCATACCTAAACATATTTTAATGAATTAGTGACACATAAGAAAATATGCAAACGCATAGGTGTACCGAAAAGTTCTTACCTAAATATATAATACTAAATTAGTGTACCGAAATATCCTTACCTAAATATATTATACCAAATTAGTGTACCGAAATGTCCGTACCTAAACATATTATACTAAAACTAATGTACCAAAATATACGTACCTAAATATACTGTAATGGATTAGTGGCATAAAATATAAATAAAAAAGACATTGAATGTATATGTTGGCATTAAATACAATCTAGGGGTTAAAATTAATATTTAATTTTGTATAAGACATTTTTCTAAACTTCATCTTATTTAAAGATTAAAATCTAGTTTTTAATTTTTATTTTATCTAGGATCTCTTGTGAGTTTGTTGGACCATGTCACCTCTTGGTCCCTTAAATAAGTTAATGTCGTAGATTGTAAAGTATGGCTAAATTTGTTCTTGCGAATGGTTTTATTAACATTTTTACCCTTAATGCTGCTGCTAAACTAGAACACGCTTAGGCTTCAAATGTTAGTTGGATTCGTAATATTCCAGATTTTATTTTATACTAGTAAATAGTAATGGATGCTCTAAGAGCTTCTCATTGTCATCAACTTTCTAGAATATTATCTAAACTACATATTAATGAAATTTTCTTTGTCAATCAAAAGAAGGTAAAAAGACATTTTTGTCTTCTAACACAACAAAAAAGTTAAGGACAGTAACGTAATTTCACAACGCAAAATTTTGCTGTTTTTTATTTAAACCTCGCCTATAGGTGATTGTATCATGTCTAATTTAAAAAAATAAAAAAAATACAATAAAAAGTGAAAAAAAAAATAAAAAAATAAAACCTCTCTCCCTTTTATTAACAGTGAGCTATGAATTCCAAGAAACGGAAAAGAATGAAAGAAGAAAAATCACAGTCTTTAGAGAGGAAATGAATAACCAAAGACTGCATTACTCGAATGAATTACATAGAGAAGGAAGTCAATATTTATACACCTATCATTTGCTTCAGAGATAAGCAACTGACTAACTAACTTCCTTATATTTCTACAATCTTAACAAACATCCTAACTGCCTTGCTGATGTGTCATCTAACTGCCTTGCTGATGTGTAAGCATCCATGCTGACATGTATCCAAAACAATGCTGATGTGTATATATCCGTTAACATCCCCCCTCAATCTCAACTGGGTTCCTAAGTTTGAGATTGTAGGAATGCTTCAAGAAAGAAGGACTATGTAATCCCTTTGTTAATATATCCGCAGTTTGTTCATCTGTAGGCAAATATTGGACTTGAAGATCACCCTTTTGAACCCTCTCTCGGACAAAGTGATAGTCCGTGTCGAGGTGCTTAATCCTGGAGTGAAAAACCGAATTTGTACTCAAAGCAATGGCATACTTATTATCACATTATATCACAGGTGTAAAGGGTATCACAACAGCCATGTCTTTCAAAATGTTTCTAATCCATGCTACATCAGCTGTAGTGTGAGATAATGCTTTATGCTCAGCTTCTGTAAAGCTTCTCAAAACTGAATTCTACTTCTTAATTGCCACGAGACTGGATTGTTGCCAATGTAAACTACATACCCCATGACTGACCTCCTAGTGTTCAAATCTGCAGCCCAATCTGAATCACTAAATGCAGTAATTCCCACTTCTGCATCAGCTGAGAATGTCACACCATTTTGCATAGTTCCTTTTAGAAACCTTAAAATCCTTTTAACTGCCCCAAAATGTACTTCTGCGGGAGCAGCCATGAATTGACACACAAAGTTGACTACATATGTAATATCTAGCCTTGTAAAGGTTAAATATTGCAAGGAGCCAACAATGCTGCGATACAAGCTTGGATCAGTCAACAAAGTGCCTTCAGTGACCAATAAAGGATCATGAGTCTTGCATGGTGTAGATGCTGGTTTGCAGGACTCCATACCAGCTTTATGCAACAAGTCCTTTATGTACTTGGATTGATTTACACAGATATCCCCATTCGATTTGTAGTTAACTTGCTAACCAAGAAAGTAAGTGAGCTTTCCCATATCTTTAAGCTAAAAAACTTCAGATAACTCTGTGAGAACACTTTGTACCTTGTAAGAATTAGATCTAGTAAGTATAATGTCATCGATATACAACAATAGAATGACTACATCCCCATCACTGTGCTTAACAAACAAGCTTAAATCAGAAGCAGATGCTGTAAACCCCATTGCAGGTAAGTAACTTATAAACTTGGAATTCCAAGCTCTTGGAGCTTGCTTAAGACCATACAATGACTTCATTAACTTGCATACATAAGATGGCTTAGCCATATCCACAAATCCTTGAGGTTTTGTAACTCACCATGCAAGAAGGCATTTTTTATGTCTAGCTGCCTTAATTCCCAATGATTAATTGCATCCAATGCTAGTAATATTCTGACTGTTGTGTGTCTCATAACAAGAATGAAAAGTTTCTGAGTAATCCACACCTTGTTCTTGTGAAAAACTCTGTGCAACCAACCTAGCTTTATACCTTGATATAGACCCATCAGGATTCTTTTTGAGTTTGTATACCCATTTGCTGCCAATAATGGATCTATCATCTGGAGGTGGTACTAGTTCCCAAGTTCCTTGAGCCCGAAGAGAGTCATACTCATCTTGCATTGCACTTTGCCATTGTGGCATAGTTGCAGCCTTTCTGAAGGTTGTTGGTTTTGTAGAATCATTGTTACTCACAAGGAAAGAAAATCCCCCACCAAAGAATGTATCTTCAGTTAGTTGAAGTGACTGTAGTTCAGGTAATGTAGCTAAATACCCTTTGTAGCTCTTCTGTGTAAGTGCCCTACTCTTCAATCTAGTAAGCATTGGATGTGTAGATGCAATTCCAGAAGCATCAGAGTTAGATAATATATTAGATAAGATTGGAAGAATTACCTCAAGTTGTGTATCATTATGGACAGGCAACATGTGTGATCTACCAGAAGGTGTAGAAGTGATGGGATGAGGTTCTTGAGTTGATGATGTATCATGTGACAGTGATAAGTACCTGATGCTAATACAATTGAACTTGACCTCATTCCAGAATTAACACTGGTATCAGAAATAGACACACCATGAATCACATAATGCTCATAGCTGCTAGTACTATCCCTCTGAGGAACCTGAGGTACTACAACAGTTGGTAAAGGAACCTGAATGACAATAGGCCTATGAATAGGAGACTGCATTTGTTGATCTCTATTGAT